AAGGAGTCAGAGAATGTATGTGTCAGGAAGGTGGTTGATTGCTTGATTTTGCATAACCTAATTGAGATTATTATTATTTTTAAATGCGGGTTTGTTGTGCTAATTAACTATAAACATATGGTATGTAAAATGCATGCTGCTAGAGTAAATTAATGTACCTCTAACATACATCCATATTTCATAGCTTCAGCCACACAAATAAACCTCCTATGGAAGTGCTGTAAAGCAAACACAATTTTGCAAATTGCCTATCACTAGTAGTGGAGCTGATACACCATTTTCCCATCATTATCCCTGACATTTCACTCACAATGATGATGAGAGGCATTTCCAAATAGAAAATTTCTCCCATGGAACTGATTAATGTGATGAAGTACTGTATAGAAATGAGGGAAAGCACAAAATCTCTGCAATTCCTAACTTTTAATTTTATCTATTCGCAAATGTCTTCCGTAACATGAGACTGAAACTAGTTCAATGGAGACTAAGACATCCAAGTCAACATTTATTTTGTGACTACTGTGTTCCAAGTGTCATGCCAGGAAAGAAAGATTAAATAAGACAGAGTACCTGCATTTCCATAACTCCCTAAGGATTGTGTTGTATTGGATTTCAGTACACACAGAAGGTCCCCAGTACCTTCTTCTGCTCTAGCAACCAGCTTCTACCACAGCAGTAAAGTCTTTCATAGTCCCCATATCTCATAGTCTCTTATTTAAAATTAACATGTGTATATGTTATACTTCTTTTTACTTCAAACCCACTAAATGTTTTATGATTATACATTAAATTTTAAGAATTTTGGTAACCATCTTTTAACCTGCAATAATTTCCCAGAAATTGCAACCAAAATATCTTCACTTCTGACTGTGAAACTAATCTTGAAAAACACAGTGTCCTAAAAGGCTGATGTTTAAAAAGGGTAGCTTTGACAAAAGCAAATAGCTATACTTTTAATACCCCCAGACAAGTGTCCCATATTAAGTAGAAACAAGAGAGAGCAGAATGTCCCAGGTGGAAGGGATGTGAGACCATCTAATTCAAATACAGAAAATTCAGGACATGAACACCACCACTCCCTGACCCCACCCCCATAGCAGACATCACTAATGACATTACTCTTTGCTACCGAACCTGGTATCTCAACCAGGCTGGAGAATTCTGAAATTCTCCAGAAAATCACTAGCAATTTATCAGGCTTAGTACCAAAAGAGAAAGTTATCTGCCATCTCTTTTCTGGTTCAATCATTTTATTTTGTAAGTAAGGAAACAGAACCTGGAAAGATAAAGTGACTTCTCCCAAGATTAACTAGCCTCAAAAAGGCAGTACCAGGACTCAGATTTCTTCTGACTCTAAATCAGAGTTTCTTTTCATCATCACATCATTCCTTTCTAATCTGCCATTAATAAAACTTGGTTTTCCAGGTCTTTGATGACTATTTCATTCCGTATTCACTGAGTGCTTAATCACTGAAGAGTCTACATAATTTGTTTTATGAAGATTTCAGCATTTCTGCCTTCCTCTTACCTGGAAAGTATTTCCAAAAAAGAGATGTAGTGATTTGGGGCTTTTTACTACACTTTGGTTTGGGGACTTATAATCATCTCAGGTCATGTCCAAAAAAAAAAAAAAAAAAAAAATCCTAATCAAGGTCTATAGGAAAAGATCTATGAAGGAGAGGAGACTCAAAGTTTTCATTCAATGAAGGCTAATATAAAAGAAAAAAAAGTACCACAAAATGAAGTTAGGCCAGGAGTGGTGGCTCACACCTGTAATCCCAGCACTTTGGGAGGGCTGAGATGAGAGGATCACATGAGCCCAGATGTTCCAGACCAGCCTGGGCAACATAGAGAGACCCCATCTCTATATATAATAAAAAAATTTTAATGAAGCTAAAGTAACAGAAGAAAAGAAGAAAGCAAAATGCTCAGAAAGGAATAATAATAGGTCCAGAGAAATTTTCAAAAAATAGAAAAATTGTCAAAGAATGTCCATTGAATAATGTTTATAAATACATGAGGAGATACAGCAAAATCAGTTTCTCCAACATGAGCATGTAATGGACAGTACTGTTCTTCCCTTTAGCAGGAATCATAAAAAACAAATTTGCTTTGTTTTAGATTTTATTCTCATTTTTCTTTCCAAAGGTTGGCTTTCTCCTTATTGAGAAGACTGCTTTTTAGCTTGCCAGACATATATGACCTAATCAGAACCTTTCTTCATCGATACACTAAAACGTATAATTATTGTCCACAAGCCTGGACCTTGCAACTATTTCTCAAAACTATAACCCTAATATTTCCAAAAGTTCTTCCTAGTAACACAGACTGCCTAACAAGTGATGGCTGGTTATTCGTAGTTGCCTCTCTCATCTGCTCTATTCTGGATCTGTCTTCTTTTGCCCTCTCACCATTTCATACTCTTGCCAATAGTGAAAAAAAAGCTCTTCTCTAAATGTGGATGTGATAGTTTTCTAAGTTTTCTAATTATTAGCTTGGTGCAAAAGTAATTGCAGTTTTTGCCATTAAAAGGAATGTAACCTCAGTTTTGGAAATCTATTTTAAGCAAGTTATGTAAAAAATGAAAAAATTATACACATAAAAGATGTCTATAGTAGTATTATTTATAGTACCTTAAAAGGTGAAACAACCTATAGTCCAAAAAGAAGGGAATAATAACATAGCTTGTTAATGAGCCATTAAAAGGAATGGCAAAAACCACAATTACTTTTCCACCAATTCATATAATTATGCAATTTCAATGTCTCAGATGTATCAAAAAAGGAACTGAGAGTTTTATCCCTACCTTGGGACTATCTGAATGATGACAGTGACAGTGATGGTGATGACAATGCCAATGGCAAGAATCTAAACTTAACACTTTCTGTGTGTTAAGGACAGGGCTAAACCTTTTCATGCACTATTTCATAAAATCCTTAAAACCTTAAGAGACAGATATACTATTACCATGCTCATTTAACAGGTAAGATAAGCTTCAGAAAGGCTAAGTAAGTGCCAGAACCAGGATTAAAACTCAGATCCTTTTTGACTCCAGGGTTCATGCTTTTTCATTCAATTATCCATTTGACATATACATGGTACCTACCATGTGCCAAACGTATGATTATCCACCGCCAAAGGCAGTAGATGCTGCTGACAAGTAGGACCAGTTTACGTAGCTAACATCTTTAGAATATGTCAGCTCTCTCTGCAGTGCAAATGTCAATACCAGGAGCAACGCTCAGACAAGTAACAGAAAACTTGATGCCCCAAAATTGGAGTTAAATGGGCCTGAGAAGACTTAATGGTGTAAATTTTGCCTGAAGCAGAGCTCAAGAAGTCAAGTTTAAAATGGCCTGTGCTACACACTTTTAGAACAAAACCTGTTAATACTGTTCAATAGCCATAAAAAAGTCCATTACATTTGATAAAGTAACCTAGGTTTGGAAATCTATTTTAAGCAAGTTACATAAAACATGAAAAAATTATAACCATAAAAGATGTTTATAGTAGTGTTATTTATAGCACCTTAAAAGGTAAAAACCTATAGTCCAAAAATAAGGGAATAATAATATAGCCTGTTAATGAAATAATTTAAAGTTATTAAAGTATAAAGATTGTGTAGCTATGTTTAAAAATGTATACTTATAAGACACCGGGAAAAAGCAGAATTCGAAATTGTCTTCTATGATTACAAATACGTAAAAAGTGCTTTAAAAAAGATTAAAAGTGAACACTTTGAAAGTATAGTGTCTGCTGTTTGGGTGGAATCACAACTTACCCTAATTTTTGGTAACAGTTTCTTTCAGAATTTTAAAATAATTTTCATAATGGTATATGCCTTCAGGATTAGAAAGATTAAAACCAAGTGCTAGCTTGCAACAGCCAGTGAAGACTTCTATGGCTAAAACTCCGCCTTAATCAGAGGCTGGTCAATTATCCAGAAAACTGAAATAGAAAACTCTTACAAAAAGAGGAAGCAGGCTGGGTGCAATGGTTCACGCCTATAATCCAGCACTTGGAGAGGCTGAGGTGGACAGATCACTTGAGGCCATGAGTTCAAGACCAGCCTGACCAACATGGCAAAACCCTGTCTCTACTAAAATACAGGAAAAAAAAATTAACTGGGCATGGTGGCACACAGCTGTAGTCCCAGCTACTTGGGAGGCTGAGGCATGAGAATCACCTGAACCAGAGGTTGCAGGGAGCTGAGATTACACCATTGTACTCCAGCCTGGGTGACAGAGTGAGACTCTGTCTCAAAAGAAAAAAAAAAAAAAAACCAAGGAAGCAGTACCTGCCTGAAGACCATACATGGTGATGGCAACAACAGGGTTAACTTCAAATACAACGAAAAGAAATACAGGAAAGTGGAGTTTAAAGCAAAATGAACTTAAAGGAACTGGTAGAGCTACTGTGGACAGCAGCCTCATCCTCATTTCAGGCATGGGGAAAATTCCACAGGCATCGCTGTGAAGAAGGAAGTCTGCTCACTCCAGTAACTTCCTCCGGGAATCAACACATTCACACAAAGCCATTTCTGCCTTCTCCGACACTCCTGACATCCTGGTAAAGTATACATGGCATTCCACCAACCAGAAAGGTGATTTGCCTTTCTATATGCTCTGAACAGAGCAAACCGATGTTCATAATGATGATCCTGGGGGCTGCAAAATCTCCCAGTGATGACAAAATCAGCCACTCTAAAACCTAGCACACTTAGAATCACCCAAGGAGCTTGGTGAGATATTTTTTCTTGGGGCTTTGTCCTCTAATTCTGATTTAGTGGGTTTATTTTGGTGCTCAATCTGTATTTTCAACAAGCACCCTAGGGATTACAGACATTTTGGAACCACTACACTGAGCTATCTATGGTATAATTTTAGTGTTCAATACAGCTCATTGTATTTTAATTTACTAAAATCAATATGTAGTCTTACGAGTATTTAAGTAGAATCTCCATTCCCCAACCATGCCAGCAAACAGAAAATGTACTCTACCTGGTAATCCAGCATCCGCAAGCTTGGAAAAAACTGACAAATTCGGGATTCAAAAAAATAGGGGAAAATCCAGAAAATGGGTAGTTCTTTGTCCCTGTCATCTATGGATCACAAAAAGGGAAAAATAATAGTAAATTAAAGAAAAAATAGCTACAATAGAAAAACTTCTGCTAGCATAAGAAATTGCAATGATTCAACACATTTAAATCTCATACGAAAACAGAAAATGTTTACCAGAGTGCCATTTCAAACCTGACTATTCCCAAAAGTTGGTGGAAATATTCCTTTATATAGAAACATAGCTACTAAGAGCATGTAAAAGTAACCCTTACATGTACATTGCTACTGTCCAGGTAAGGCAAAGATATTACCTAAAAAGTTGAAAATAGAAAAGGAGTGTCATTTTTGAAGCACAAAGGTAGTCATGATATAGGGGAAGGACCTCTGGACTAGAAGGCAGTAGCCTTGGGTGTGAATCCCAGCTCTGCTGCAACTCATTATCTTAGTTTCCAAGGATGAACCAATCTTTTCTGAATCATGGAAAGTTCTTAAAAACAGTTTTACCAAAATTAGTTTTTGTGATAGAAAGGGAACACTGCTATTACTTACAAAGCACCTAGTATAGGGGAGGTGCTTTGTAAATAGTACTTATTATAGATTAGTGTAAGCACTATTACAGCTAAAACTCCAACAGTCTGAAAAGCCTTAATCAGAGGGAAGCCTAATCATAATGTTTACACTAAGCTATAAGAAGTACTTGCTATGTACTGTCTCCTTACAATAATCCCTAGAATAAGACATTATCCCATTTTACAGATAAGGAAACTAAAGCCATAAACTGTCAAGTCTATGCAGCTAGTAAGTGGCAGAAGAGGAATTCAAGCCCACAAAACCTCTTTATTGCTTCCCCAATGACATTGATTTTATCCACTCTAATTAGTGGACTTAAAAACAGCAAAGAAGTGAAATACTTAACCATATGAGTCACGTTATAGATTTCATTTGCATTCTGTCTCCCAAAGCACAATTAGTGGAGAAGCCTGATCACAAAATTCCTGACACTCTAACAAATTTATCAACTTGTAAGCTAGAAAATATTTATAAAAAATGAATGTACCAACTAATTAAGATAATTATATAAAATACTTTGAAGTCCTAAGCCGCTTTAAACTGAATAATAACCCCCAGCCACTAACCCAGCTCTAGGGCTGGGAATCTGTGTCCCTTATAACCATGATCAGACTATGGGATGTCCAACCTCCAAACTCAAATCCTGGCAAAGCATAGAGCCCTGGACCTCAAGTTGACCGTGCCCTTTTAGTATTCTGGGCAAGGCTTTAGGTACAGGCAATGTAAGGTTCACAGGGCACACAAATCTATTCCTAATACCTAAACAGGACCTGGCACACAGTGGCCACTCAGTAAGTATTACTGAATGAATGACAACAGTTTCTGCTCTTCTGCATAATGTCCCATTATCCCCATCAAAAACATAGTATTTTACCTATAAGCCATTAAAAAAAAAAACCCACATGATTGGAATAATACAAAGTATATCATGATAATGAAGTCTGCTGCAACATCAAATAAGTTTGTTTTTAAAAACAGAACTCAAGACATGTATATTCTATCAGTGCTCTGATTCACTGAGCTCAGCTAATATTTGACAGGAAGTAGATACATAGATACATGTTTATTTTGCAGTAATAAATTATACACCTTGGCTTTGACCTTCTTTCCACATAGCAATTAACTTCTTGAACGTAATAGCCAGAGGTTCAACCAAGCCACCAAACGGAGGATCTGTCACCATAATGACTCCTTCGCCTTTATCTTCCTGTAAAAATGCTCTGCATACTTCAAGGGCAGTCTGGAACAAATAAAAATTCATTTCTAAATTAGGACGAGAGAGAGGCACTTCATCCTATTTGGAGGAGAATGCATTAGATTCAGTCTCACTCTTAATCCTGGAAACTTTACCACGTCATCTTGCCTCCGCAGCATCCCTCAGTGACATGCTGAAGCCTCTCTTAGCCCCTGTAAGATTTTACCTTTGGTTTTCTTGATAAGCAGGTTTTTAAAATTGCAAATTCAAACACCATCACTATCAGAAGACTACACATTTCAAATGGTTAAATTAAAAGGCTAAATTTAGTGTCCTAAAAGAAACTCATTACCCATGAAAACTATCTAAAATGTTAAATTCAATTCAGCAAACAGAAGCCGGGATGGTGCTAAGCACCGGGGACACAAAGACATTGTTTTCCTATCTGGTTTGTCCAATGCCATGAGTTCAGTTTAATAACAGCCACAAATTGCCAGTTAAACATGCACATGTTTTTGAGTATCAGGCAGACATATTTGAACATGCACTGTAAGTAAGTAAAAAATGAAAGCTCACAAACAACAAAGCTTATCTGGTCCATGAAACCATGCTATTAACACATTTTCCCAAAGGTTAATTTCAGCTTTCCGAGTAACTGCAAAGTAAACATTAACAAGGATATTTAACGGTTTTTGCTATGGGTGAAGTTATTAAGAGATACCATATAACAGTATCTCCAGTCAACTGAATTGCAAGAAGCTTTCAAGTACAGCCCCTTGGTATCCCTGAGGGACTGGTTCCAGGACCAAAATCTGCATATATAAAAATCTGCAGGTGCTGGCGTCCCTGATATAAAATTTGTAGTATTACACATAACCTATACACATCCTCCTATATACTTTAAATCGTCTCTAGATTACTTATAATACCTAATACAATGTAAATGACATACAAATAGTTCTTAGACTCTATGGTTTAGGGAATAATAATCAGAAAAAAGTGTACATGTTCAGTACAGTCACCACCATCCTTTTATTCTATTATTTTTGATCTGCAGTTGGTTGCATCCACAGATGTGGAACCCACAGATGCGGAGAGCTGACTGTACTCATCTACCAAAATAAGTCAACACAGTATACAAAACGACATGAGATTTTAAAATTTAATGGCATTTTAAACTTTGATAAGCCTATATGTACTTTCTAATAAAATATATTTTGTTCTACTGCTAAATCAATTTAGAAGACCCCACTGATGAGAGGAAAACCTTTTTACCCAGGAGAGTCTTCATTAATTTCCCACTGGAACTCCTATAATAGCAGAGGATGACTTGTCAAGAAGGTTAATCATTTTTCAAGTGCTGTCTGCACTTCCTTAACCTGCTTACATGAACAAGGACTTTCAGATGATAATACTGAAATCTTCAAACTCCTTAGAGTTAAAAGTAGAAAAGAGACATTATATGTCAATGATGTCTAACTCCTAACCTAACTTCAAAAATATTTTTAAAGGATACTTTTCTTCCAGCTAAGAATCAATGGCATCATAGACCAACACGAGTTGCTGATGGTCTTAATAACGACCTCCTATGGGAAACAGATACTTGCTTATCACCAATGTTGACAGTCACCTGGCTCTTTCCTTTATCTCAGTTATCATTTAAAAAGTGCCCAGCTATTTAATTAGCCATCCTTTCTACATATTTTAACCCCCTTTGCCATTAAGGCAGATGGCATTTTTTAAAGATATATGATTTGCAATAAGAAATTCTGTGTGGGGAACTCCTGCTTTTTACTCTAGCGGACTGTAAAGTGCTGAGGTGCACTAGCAGAGTCTTCTATTCTTCTAAGCATCCCTGGACAGCCTCACAGGCACCAAGCCTACACTTAAATACTTAGTGATTGATTAGTGGATGGTAAATCTCTAGTGAAAAACTTGACTCCAGGAGTACGTAGAAAAAGGGAAGACAGTAAAATCATTAAAACAATGGGTTTCTGCAGATCAATCTCTCTAGTTGCAGTGCTATTTAGAGGCTGCTGCTGAAATACAGAGTAAGGAAAGCCCGAGCTGGACGACTCTTTTCTTCAGGGAAGATAAAGTGGAACTCCATCTTGGCAGCTTATTCCAACCATTATCCTAGAAATGTCTCGGGTAATGCTACACACTTTCTATAAGCTTCAAATCATTTCCAAGAAAAAGGTTAATTACCTGTTACTCTTTTAAAATATTTTGAAAATGCCAACTGTTATGTAATTGCTACCCAACATAAATGTAATTTTATCCTTATTTTGTCTTTATTGTTCAAAATAAAAAGCAAAATCATAGCATGGTATTAAAATAGACAAACAACACAGGAAAACCCAAACTCACTACTGTGACATCAAGTAGTAATACGAACTCAATGGCTTTCTCATCTCTACAACACAGCCCTGACCTCACCAAGGGAAGGCCCTGTGGTTTCAAGTGGTCATGCTGGACACATCAATATCCCACCAGCCCCACAAACTCCACATCTCCAAACTTTGCTTCCCTCTGTTTGGAAGAAAAAAATACAAATCCAGGCCATTCCACCAAGTCAGTTTGGACTTCTCCCTCAGTAGAGTCTTCTGACTGCTTAGACAACCCTTCTTCCTTCTTTTTTTTTTTTTTGAGATGGAGTTTCGCTCTTGTTACCCAGGCTGGAGTGCAATGGCGCAATCTCGGCTCACTGCAACTCTGCCTCCTGGGTTCAGGCAATTCTTCTGCCTCAGCCTCCTGAGTAGCTGGGATTACAGGCACACGCCACCATGCCCAGCTAACTTTTTGTATTTTTAGTAGAGACGGGGTTTCACCATGTTGACCAGGATGGTCTTGATCTCTTGACCTCGTGATCCACCCACCTATTTTGGCTTCTGTCATCTCCTTTTAATATGGATATACTGATGAAGACTTCAAAATTCACCAAGTATCTTTGGGATCTAATTTCTTCCACCAATTTACTTTAGGGTCGCTTTTGCTGTAGGTGCTGCCTGGTTCTCAATTTGACACCCTCTCTTAACATGAATGAGTTCAAATTATATTGCTTCCTAAGCAATCACACCCAAGGACAGTACAGGTGTGTGGCAATGTGCCAATATCTTTAACTCCAGACATCAGGTTTTCAAGATAAAAGCCTTTAAAACAAAAGCCATCTTATATATCAAGTCAACGTGAAACTGGAATGCAAAATTAATGCTACTGAGGATTTCCCTCGTATCCCATGCTGTTTAACTATTTACAGTCCTAGAATTAATCTTTTTTAATTAAGAGACAGGGTCTGTCTTTGTTACCCAGGCTGGAGTACAGTGGTGCTATCAAAGCTCAGTGCAGCCTCCATCTCCTGGGCTCAATCCTTTTGCCTCAGCCTCCCCTTCCTGAGTAGCTGCAAGTACAAGTACATGCCCAAATATCCAGCTAACTTTTAAATTTTTGTGCAGATGAGGTGTTTGTTACTTTCTTGCCTCGGCTGGTCTTGAACTCCTGGCTTCAAGCGATACGCCCACCTCAATGCAGGGATTGCAAACTTGCACCACTGCACCTGGCTTGGAACCAACCTTTAGGACTATCAATACTCCCATCAGTTAACTGTCTCAGGTATCATAATATCCCTTCCTATATGTATCAAAACTCATACTGAACAATGAGTTCTGGGTTACAAAAGAGGATTTATTTTATTTTATTTTATTTTTTGAGACAGAGTCTCGCTCTGTCACCAGGCGCCAGGCTGGAGTACAGTGGCATGATCTTGGCTCACTGCAACCTCCACCACCCGGGTTCAAGCAATTCTCCTGCCTCAGCCTCCAGAGTAGCTGGGACTACAGGCACGCACCACCATGTCCAGCTAATTTTTATAGTTTTTTAGTAGAGACAGGGTTTCACCATGTTGGCCAGGATGGTCTCGATCTCTTGACCTTGTGATCCGCCTGCCTCAGCCTCCCAAAGTGCTGGGATTACAGGCATGAGACACCGTTCCTGGCCAAGAGGATTTATTTTTTGCACCTATCCATAAGTCTTCGTCCACAAGTTAAACAGAAACATACATAAGTGCAATGATAATCCAGTTCTTTCCTCTTCTTTTCTCACTGCCACCGTCCCAGCTGAGAAGTCCCTCATCATCCACTGGCAAGTGACTTTCAACTCCCACTTTCCTTCACATTCATCTAATCAGTTCTCAAATCCTGGTGATTACCAACCACATAAACTCTTTGGAAAACAGCTGAAATACATCTAATTGTAACTGCTGTTTATTTCAATACCTGGTTGTTAATGGCTTCACAGCTGAAAAATATTAATATAATCCCAATGCTAAATTGATTCAAATGGAAGGAGTGCTATACTTACTAAATCAGGGGGGATCATTTTTCAATCCCAACCAACAATTTCATATTTGTTTTCATTTCCTGAATGCTGACTCTTAAAGTCTTGCTTGGTTTTCATCCTATCATTAGTTAGGATCTCAAAGCACAATATATAGTAAGCATGGTCCACAATTCTTACAAAATTGACCTGTATGCATATAGCTATGGGTGTGTTTCAAGGTGTCTTGGTAATTTCAAAATAATTTTGGCCAGCATCCTAGCAGGTGTGATTACTTGGCTGGTTATAGATTTTGTTTTATAATAGGCCTGATGAAGAGCTCAAACTAAATGTATCAGCCCTGCTTTGCTGTTTATTCTCAGTGACATTATTAACATCATATCGAAAAACCTTTTTTAAGCTGCTGTCTTTTTTTTTAAGAACCCCCCCCACCCCCACCCTTTTTTTCTAAGAGCAGTTTTAGGTTCACAGAAAACGTGAGAGGAAGCAAGATCTTCCATGCACCCCCAGCCCTGACACATGCATTTAATTACACTGTGGTAAGTCTGCAAAGGAGAACTTGACCCTTTGGGGAGCTGGGGTCGGGGAGGCTGGAAGAAGTGATTTGGAACAAAGTTCTAAAGGATGAGTGGAGTTATCAATGCAAAAAGATAGCAGAAACCAGCAGGAACAGCATGGGTCTTCACTGCGGTGGAAAAACATCTGACCAGTTCCAGATGAAAGCCCTGTGCCCTTAGTACAGACAGCAAAGGGGAAAAAGGGAGATGGGAGGCCAGAGTGGAAATCAGGGTCAGATCACACAGAGCCCACGGGCCTTCTAAGAATGTGGGCCTTCATCCAAAAAGTAGTGAAAAGTCGTAACAAGGGAATAATAAAATCACTTCTAGGTGCTCAATAAACAGTGAAAGAACAAAAATAAATACCAATAAATGGTAAAACAGCCACAATTTGACCTTGAGGGAATTTAGAGAAAGAACAAAAAAGGCACGCTGAAATTTGTTATTCCACAATAAGAGAACAATGAGATAATGGTCACAACTCTTACCTTTCCATCAAAGAAATGATGGTTAAACATATTATAATGGCAAAAGCTATCTTCCATGTAAAACTGTGAATACCTGTAAGATAATTATAGAGTTATTTGTCCAGTCACATCTATAGAGTAAGCAAATATAAACTAAATTTAAAAACTATAAAATCACCCCTTGAATTTAAAAACTTCATCATTCTTTATTTTTTTGAAATAAAGAATAATTTCCAAAACTTTCAGGGAATCTGTAACAGACCTGTAACAGTGAATAAATAAACCTAAGTCATTTTCCCATGTTTAATTAACTAGTAGCAAAACTATAGAATACTCGTATATAAAAAACACATGTTCCTATGTACCAGGAGATTATACCTAAACAATCAGTTACTGACAGATAATTATGCAATTTAAGCTTGCAGCGGGTTGGCAATTAAGGCATATCCCTCATGGTTAATAATTTCAAGGAGAATATAAATCAACATTTCTGCTCAACATCTGTTCATTTATTTTCTGCTGTAGGTGATTTTTTTTAAAAAAGTATTTAATACAGGCTGGACACAGTGGTTGACACCTGTAATTTCAGCACTTTGGGAGGCTGAGGCAGATAGACTGTTTGAGCTAATGAGTTTGAGACCAGCCTGGGCAACATGGTAAAACCCCACCTCTACAAAAAATACAAAAATTAGCCAGGCATAGGGGTATGCGCCTGTAGTCCCAGCTACTCGGGAGGCTGAAGTAGGAGGATGGCTTGAGCCCAGGAGGTGGAGGCTGCAATGAGCCAAGGTCACACCACTGCACTCCAGCCTGGGCGATAGAGCCAGACTATGGCTCAAAAACAAATGAATACAAATATTTTTGGCTAATGCAGACTAGGTTAATAAAACATGCTTTTCTATATAATAGAAAAAGTATATGCATTTCGTATTTATTAAATTGGTGCCAAGTATTTACCGATTGAATTATTCGTTTTTCTAATGCAGTACTTAAAAAAGGCATTGGCAGTGAATGAGAGTACCAGCTTTGGGCATTAACATTTTATAAATTCTTGCTAATTTACTAGGAAAAACTCATACCACATTATGATTTAATTCTGCATTTGATAACTTACAAGGTGGAATTTTCTGTATTTCTTAACTGAATTTGTACTGTCTGTTCGTATATTTTCCCTATTTATGTATATGGGTCTTAATGTCTGTCTTGCTGATTTCTGAGTTTTCTGTATAATATAGAAATCTCTTTGTTATCTCAATGGAATTTTGAATTTTGACTATTTTATTACACATAATTCACATATGAATCACACGATCCTTCTTGGGAATTTGTAAAGTGAAAAGACTGAAAAAATCTATAACACATCCTTACTTATTATGAGTTCTTCAAATCATGACACTTGCAACTTCTTTGCTTGTATTTCTATTCAGTCATCCATTACTGTCTATAACTGACTGGGCATCCATGGTGAATATTTACATAAGGGACAGCACTGGTTTATCCTCTTCCCATTACACTGTGGTTAGGAGCACAGGCTCTATAGTCAGATGGTCTGGTTTCAAACTATGGGTGTCTCACTCATTAGCTGGGTATCCTTAGTAAGTTATTTAACCTTTCTGAGCCTCAGTTTCTTCATCTACAAAATAGGAAAAATAATAATTTCTACCTCATAGGACTAGATAACAATAAATGAGATAATGTATGTAAAATGTTTAATACAATGCCAGCTACATAGCAGATACTAAATGTTAAGTGCTATTATTTTAATAAATATCAGCTGTAAAGATTTATGTCTTAATGACTCCAATATTAGGGAATTATATTTATGTTCACCAAAAGATAACCTACACCTATTTCTTCTTGTTCTGTGGAGACGGACGAAGAGCTGCGGACCATTCTCAGTACATTATCCTTAAATGTCATTTAAGACACTGTTAGCGCATTTCATAAAATACAAATTTACTGAAGAAATAAAAGGTTTAGATTACTGAAAAATATTTAAACTATATACTGTAACCTAATGAACATTCCAAAAATTGACTGTAGGCAAGGTGAAATTACCATTAAACAAGTATGTTCCTATTTAACTTAATTTCAAATAACTGGCTTTAAAAAAAAGTATATCAGTACTAGTACAGCCATGGATAAACAGCGATTTGAGGGTTTTCTTCTCTCTTGCACTGCGTTGAGTATCAGCAAGGGAAAGTACAATCCCTTTTTAACTTAATACCCATTGTTTCCATTCCTTCACAAAGATACAATAGTCAGTTTTGAATCTTAAAAAAAGAAAATTTGATTTACATAAAATTCAGCACAGCACACCTGTCCAAAACATTCTGGGCAGCAGTGTCCAAAGCCAGAGGGAAAGAAAAGCCAAGATTTCAGTTCTAAGTTTCCATCAAATACATAATTTGAGAGCATAATTATTCATATTTTAAATTATAAAAAATCACTCAACATTGCCCTCTTAAAATGAAACTGGCCACAAAGAATTATTCTCTCCATTGAATAAGGCAAACAAAACCAATCCGAAATTCATGCACTTGAAAACTGCTCAAAAGGACATTCATTTAACTCGGCCATTCATTCTCTTTAAATGAGAGTCAGCTACCAAGTGTGAAACATGCTCTACACACAGGAAATGTAATCAAGAGCTGAAGAGAATTAGTTCATGAAATGAACCTAAGAAATTCATTTTTTGACATAACTTTATTTGGATAATAGTTTGCCAAACAGAGTTTCACATCTTTCATGCTAAAATTAGAGCATATAGAAATCCATCTTAGCAAATGTGAACTTCTTATCTTTTACTCCCTAAAAAAGATATTTATAGCACACCTATAGAGAACACTGGAGTCTGAGGCAGTCCAGCCTCAGATAAACCTGTTGTAAGGCACCAAGAAACCGAAGTCAAAGTGCCAAAAAACTACTCACTGTCACTCTGTACCACACAGAATTTTTTTTTCTAATTTAACTGTGGTCTTTAGGAGAAATCTGAACCAACCACACACTCCACCATGCTGTAAATACAGGTAATAGCCTCTGAGCATTCCAGCGACTTATGTGTTTCAATAAACTAGCTCTCTCTCTTTTTTTTTTAATGAGCATCGTTCACAAAACCAGCTCTCTCTTAACAACTAGCGTTGACCTCCTACAGCACTGACTCAGTAACAGACTATGTTATCAAAAAAACTGAGCTGTGTTTGTGATATTGCCAATAGAACACCATCAGTTTTTGTTTGCAAGGCGTACACAGAGGTTAATAAACTATAAAAAAAAAGTATCAATATATTCTATACATTTTGAAATAAGTTTATCCACATCCCTAACCCCTACGCTGACCAGGACATATCAACTACAGGTGCAAGAAAGGGAAAACTACGAAGTATGGCATTAAAGGTGAAATGGTTAAGAGGCCATATAAATCTTTCCAATTAAATCAGGCAAGATGAAGAGTTCTGGAGATCAGTTACAAACAATGTGAATTTACTTAACACCACTAAGTTGTATATCTAAAGACGGCTACTAGGGTAAATGTTATGTTATATGTACAGTTGACCTTTCAACAACAAAGGGGTTAGGGGTGCAGTAGAAAATCCAAATATAACTTTTACCTTCTTTGTCAGTCCGTTTTGCATTGCTATAAAAGAATACCTGAGATCGGGTAATTCATAAAGAAAAGAGATTTGGTTCACTAGCATCTGCTGGGCCTCCGGTCAGGCCTTAGGAAGTTTTTACTCATGGTGGAAGGGAAGGGGGAGCAGGCATGTTATATGGTAAGAGAAAGAGCGAGAAAGCAAGGAGGAGGTGCCAGGCTCTTTAAACAACCAGCTCTTGGGTGAACTAATAGAATGAGAACTCACTATCATGAAGACAGCATCAAGCCATTCATGAGGAATCAACCCCATGATTCAAACCCACCTCCCACTAGGCCCATCTCAACACTGGAGATCACACTTCAACATGAGATATCCAAACCATATCAACTCCTTAAAAACGTAACTACTACAGCCTATGATGACTGGATGCCTTACAGATAGCAGTCAATTAACTCATATTTTGTTTATGTTTTGTATACTGTATTCTCACTATAAAGTTAGAGAAAAGAAAATGTTATTAAGAAAGTCTTTTGAGAGGTCGAGGTGGGAAAATTGCTTGAGGCCAGGAGTCCAAGACAAACCTGGCCAACTACAAAGACACTGTCTCTATTATTAAAAAAAAAAAAAAGAAGAGAAAATATTACTTAATTTCATTAAGTGGAAGTGGATCATCATTAAGGTCTTCACCTTCATACTGACTAGGCTTAGGAGGAGGTAGAAGAGGAGGGGTGGCAGAGGCAGAGGAAAATCCACTTGTAAGTGAACCTGGGCAGTCCAAAACCATGTCATTCAAGGGTTAACTGTATTTTTGCAAAACTTTTAAAAGTAAATCATAGTACTAGCAATAAACACCACAAAATAAAATTCAGAAAACCATTTGAATTATAATAGCACCAAAAATAATAAAACATCAAGATAAATTTAACAAGAGAAATACAGGAATTATATACTGAAAACTACGAAATATCATTTAAAGAAACTGAAGACCTAAAGAAATTGAAAAACATCTCATGTTCATGGACTGGACAACTTAATATTAAGATGGCAGTATTCCCCCAAATTAATCTAAAAATTCAATGCAATCCCTATAAAAATCCCAGCTGGCTTTTTTGGCAGAAATTGACAAGCTGATCCTAATATTCATATGGAAGTGAAAGAGACAAGAACAGCCAAAACGATCTTGAAAAAGAACAAAATAGGAAGACTCATACTTCCCATTTTCAAAATTTACTACAGATAAACAGTAATCAAGACTGTGTGAAAGTGGCGTAGAACTTAGTGGAATGGAACTTAGAGTCCATAAATAAACCTATATATTTGTGGTCCTTTGGTTTTCATTATGGTACCAAGACAATTCAATGGGAAAAGAACAGTCTTGTCAATAAATAGTGCTAGAGCAAATGGCCATCCACATGCAAGCAGTTAGACCCCTACCTCAAAAACAAATAAAAATTAGCTCAAAATAGATTAAAGACCTAAGTGTAAAAGCAAAAACTGT